ACTTCAACATTAACATTAGATCAATTGAGACAGAAAATTAACAACGATATCCAGGACTTGAACTCAGATCTAGAACAAGTAAACGTAATTAACATTTATAGAACTCTCTGCTTTAAATACACAAAACATACACTCTAATCAGTACATCATATCAACTTAGAAGTTTAAACGAAATGTTGGTTGGCTCCTTGTTTGTTATTCTCTTCCCTCATTTTCTTTCGTGTCTCAATTATTAAGCATGATTATAGGCATACCCATATTTAGACTGCATTCTAGCCCGGGCAATAAAGCAATACCCCCATTCTCTCTCCCTCTTCCTCTTTCTCTTTCTTCCTCTTCTTTATTCTTTTTCTTATTATTCTTTTTTTATTTCTCTCTTTAAAAAAAAAAAAGTTAAACGTAGCCTTCATTTACTGAAATTAACTGGGGTCTTAAACTAGCATTGATGCTTTAAATCCATGGAGGCTGTAGGACTTAAAAAAAAAAAGAGAGAAGCCAGGTGCGGTGGCTCAAGCCTGTAATCCCAGCACTTTGGGAGGCCGAGGCGGGTGGATCACAAGATCAAGAGATCGAGACCATCCTGGTCAACATGGTGAAACCCCGTCTCTACTAAAAATATAAAACATTAGCTGGGCATGGTGACGTGTGCCTGTAATCCCAGCTACTCAGGAGGTTAAGGCAGGAGAATTGCCTGAACCCAGGTGGTGGAGGTTGCGGTGAGCCAAGATCACACCATTGCACTCCAGCCTGGGTAACAAGAGTGAAACTCCGTCTCAAAAAAAAAAAAAAAAGAGAGAGAGAGAAAGAAAAAAAAAATAGCAGAGCAGGCCAAGTACAGTGGCGCATGTCTGTAATCCCAGCTCTTTGGGAGACCAAGGTGGGTGGATCATTTGAGGTCAGGAGTTTGAGACCAGCCCGACTAATATGGTAAAACTGCGTCTCTACTAAATACAAAAAATTAGATGGGTGTGGTGGCAAATGCCTATAACCTGTAATCCCAGCTACTCTGGAGGTTGAGGCAGGAGAATCACTTGAGCCCGGGAGGCAGAGGTTGCAGTGAGCTGAGATCACACCATTGCACTCCAGCCTGAGCAACAAGAGTGAAACTTCATCTTAAAAAAAAAAAACACAAAAAAACAAAAAAGCAGTGCAAGCAATTGATGGTGCTAAGTACCACCATGTTGCATGCATGGTAGCATACATCACGTGGACAGATTGGAAGAATCACAGGAGAACACTGCTTAGTGCCTAGTGGAGTGCCCTGTCTCTCAGCCCAGCAGGACCTTTTGTTCCCAGGATCACGCCAGTCTGCTAAAGGAAAGTGGCCCTTGCTCCAAACTTCCAACTCAGCTTATATTAGAGGATGGGGCCAACATCAGTCCTGTGGCATTGCCAACAAGTACCGCCACCTGGGATGCCTCAATTCCTAGGCACTCCAGTGGTGGCCAGACAGTAGTGTTTCTTGCTTTTTGCTTGTTTGTTTTGCTTTTGCTTTTTAAATCATTTTCTGACAAGCTGCACATCAGCAAGCACTGTTTCCGTATCACAGAAGTCAGCAGGAAGTGTTTGGAGGTGGGAGAGAAAAGAGTCAGTAGCCTTTTAAAATATTGGACAGCCTTGGTGCATTTCCATGGCTGGGGGGAAATCAGAGGCCATGTTGAAGGTTTCTATTGAACTTTTAGTCACACCTCTTATGATTTCTGTTATTCCAGGAAGAGTCCGTCTCTTATGGCTCCTGCCGAGATGATGTTAAGAGACAATAGTAATAATACATTCCACCTTTCTTTGGGGCAGTTCAAAAATACTTCTTGTGTATTCAACCACACAGTCAGGAGTAGGGAGGTAAGCTCAAGTGTCACTGCCTAAAGCGAAAGCCATCTTGCTGAGTGAGAGGGAAACTGCAGGAGACAAACCTGCCAGCAGTGATGCCACCTGTTACTTGCTGGGTGCATTTTATCAGTGTGTTCTAGGTGGGCTCCCTGGAAGAACACAGGAAAAAGACTGAGGGGAGAGGGAAGCACCCAGTCCTGGAGGTGTCTGCATGGGCTCCTCAGGCCCCGGTCCTCTTCCCTGGCCTCCCACTGCTCTGTCAGCTGCCCTTATAAAGAAGATCAGTAGATCTGTATTCTTTTATCTATTGAAGTGATCCTATGACACTGCAATGCCAGGACATGGGGTTCTCTTCATTCAGAATCTAGGGAACGAGGAGGGGACAGTAACATCTTGTATTGTCCATAGTAGCCTGGACACAGACTCACTGGCTCTTTCAGCACCCCGTTCAGAAAAGGAAAGGGTGCTTTGGAAACTGAGCTGGAGGCTGAAGGCCAGACTAAGGTCCGTAGCAAACGAATGGCAAAACCTGTCCCAGAGTGTCGGACTCTTCACAGACTGGATGGTTTTCCTAATTCAGTGTTGTTGCATTACTTATGGAAGTTGTCTCGGTTCCTCTTATCTTTGCCAGGCCCTAGAGCTCATGTTCCTTACATCCCTTCTTTCGGCAGTCCTTTCATTCCTACTCTCCTTTGTCATTTTAAGGGTTTCTGCAGAGAAACTGCGGGAGACAGTTCTTCACTGTACAAGGGACCTTCTTGCTCTTTGAAGGGCTTTAGTATCCCTTGCCCCAGACACTGACTGCCATTACTGATCCGGCTCATGAACGTAATGCACAGAAACACCCTCATCATTTCCAGACAGCCAGGGTTCGGGAGTCATGGGTGCCCCAGTTGAGAGCTGCTGCCAGAGGCTGGGCTGGGACAGGCCCCTGCTGTGCCGTCTAGCCCAGTATACCAGTGCTTCCTCTCTCTGGCCTACATCCCTCCTTGTCTCTAAACTTATGCTCAGATTTCAGTGGGAAGCCTTCCCTGACTGATTCATTCATCTAACATTTACTCAGCAGGTATGTATTGATACCTGCTCACAGTTCCAGGTACCATTTGAGGAGCAGACGCCCATCCCTGCACCTTCCTGACACTGCCCTGCTTTAATCTTTCATTTTCATGTTATTCTAAAAGTGTGCCAAGGTCATCCAGCTCCTACCTAGGAAGGAGCTTCTCTGGGACAATGACTTCTTCTACTTTTATTTTTATCGCAAGATATGGAACTATCACCAAGAGTGTATCTTATTTCCATAACAGGGAAAATAGTTCTAAGGTATCATTTTTTTTTTCTAACTTGAAGATTCTGTTTTTCATGATACCTGAATATGATGGGATCAGCATGAGAAGTATTGTGAGGTCCTTAGTCAACAGTAAACATAGGCCAGGCGCAGCGGCTCACGCCTGTAATCCCAGCACTTTGGAAGGCAGAGGCAAGGTAGATCATTTGAGGTCAGGAGCTTGAGACCAGCCTGGCCAGCATGGTGAGATCCCATCTTTACTAAAAATACAAAAATGAGGCAGGCATGGTGGCAAGCACCTGTACTCAGGAGGCTGAGGCAGGAGAATCGCTTGAACCTGGGAGGCGGAGGTTGCAGTAAACTGAGACTGTGCCACTGCACTCCAGCCTGGGCACCAGAGAGAGGCTCATCTCAGAAAAGAAAAAGAAACGGTAAACGTGACCTGAACATCATGCAAGGAGGAAAAGACCATTGCACACTCCTTGTTTCCCGGTGCATGCTGACAAGTCATGATTGAGGGGTCTTAAGACAGAGACAGAGAACATCGGGTGCCATCTGCCTTCCTCAGCCTCATTTGGCCCAGAGATAGAAGGCAAACAGGTAACAAATAGAATAGGCAGAGAGGAAAAAAGCAAGTACGAAACTTGGGAGAATCTGATGGAGAAATAGAATCTTCTTTATGTTTTTTCTTTTAGTTTTTTTATTACAGGAAATTTCAGCACCCATGCACACACACACACACACACACACACACACACACACACACACACACATTAATTTTAGTAGATGAAAAAACAAAAAACAAACCAATATGTTTTCAATACAAAACGAAAGTTTTATTCATTTCATATAGGGAAATGACCAGAATAATATAAGAACCTGCCCTGGGCTCATCACCCAATGTCAGCAGTTTTGAATGCAGGGCCATCTTATCTCATGTATTTGCCCATCTACTCTGCCCTTCTCCCACTGTATTTTTTTCTTATTTATTTTTTTGAGACAGAGTTTCACTCTTGTCACCCAGGCTGCAGTGCAATGGCACAATCTCAGCTCACTGCAACCTCTGCTTCCCGGGTTTGAGTAATTCTCCTGCCTCAGCCTCCATAGTAGCTGGAACCACAGGCACACACCACCACACCCAGCTAATTTTTCTATTTTTAGTAGAGACGGGGTTTCACCATGTTGGCCAGGACGGTCTCGAACTCCTGACCTCAAGTGATCCACCCACCGCAGCCTCCCAAAGTGCTGGGATTACAGGCGTGAGCCGCTGTCCCCAGCCCTCCCACTGTATTATTTTAAGGCAAATCTCAACATCAGATAATTTTATCCATTAACATTTCAGTGCAAATTTTAAAAACCATTGCCATAATATCATTATGCCCAAAACAAATCAATAATCTCATATCATGAGATTTCCTAGCAGCATTCCACATTCCAACTGTGGAGACTTTTTTAACCCGAAATCCGAGTGAAAAATTACACCTTCACTGGGAAAGATGCGACAAAGAAATCAAAAGAGACTTTTTCTTTCTTGTAGAGAAGGACAACGAAGCAATGGGAAAACGATTTCAGAGAAGCGGCTCTGGCCTTGCCAATTTTCTGAGGCCTGTCCAAGCTTACCTGGGTGCAGTCCTTTGCCCCCCAAACTCACTCCCGAGTTGCAGGTGTGCACTGCTGAACTGCAGTTAACTCTCCATGAAGGTTCATTTCATAACACACATTTCACGTTTTACAGCAGGGCTCTCTGCTACATTGCTAGTCATTTAAAATTTGGCCACATGGCAAAAATGTGTGTAATGCAGGGTTTTTTTTTTAAGTGTTGATTGAGCACATAATTCAAAAGTTAGAATATTAAATAAACATCTCTGCCCTTTCTTTCTTCCAGCAGGCAGCCCAGAGAACAGCTCTCCGTGCTCTGTCTGACAGGTACATTTTGTCATTTTTATGAACTATAAATTGCTTTATGAAACATTGAGCCCTATTTATTGTGGGATATAATTCATAATCGGGTTTTGTCCCTAAAGTATCTGTGAACTGGGATGTTAAACATTTTGCATGCTTGGATTTGTCATGCATGTGTGGAGGTTATCACTGCAAAAATTGCCTTGTTCTGTTTCATAGCAAGTATGAAGAATCCCTTGTTGTGCAATGAAACAAGACACAAGAAACTTAGAAAGGCCTGAATGGTGTGGTAAATTCTGAGCTTTGGAATTGGTTGAGATCTAAGTTCATTTTTCAGCAATAAGTACTTCATTTATTTTGAAATGTTTTCTTCAGAGTTTTTCCATATCATTTCACCGGGAGCTACCTATCTTTTGATAAGATTCTCTCTTGCAATATGTTATGCACATAACCCAACAACTCACAGTCCCGCGTGCCTGACTTTTTAACTCCTTGCTTTAGCTTCTTTCTCCTGACACATGTTACTGAATGAGATGTATAAACCTCATCAAGAAACACACACAAGCTGTATTTTATATCCTGCTTTGCCTAAAAGGCTATAGACAGATAGTTGAATGCAGGTATGTAAAGTTACTTCTAGAACAGAACAGACCATTGGTTTGGTTTCGTGTTGGGTTTTTTTGTTTTTCTGGGTTTTTTTTTGTTTTTGTTTTTGTTTTTTCCACTTACTAAGATTGGAGGGAGGTGGGGAGGGAAGGAGCAGGCGCACACACGTGCATGGTTTGAGGAACTGTCAGGAGGTAAAGATGAAATCCCTGCTTGTCTCCACAGCATTAGAAGCAGCAGGAGGAGGTGTGCCCTCGGCTGGCTGGCAGGCACCTCTGAATTGTCTAGCTAACCTTCACCACCCTGCCTTCCTTCCCAGTTCCTTGTTCATGGAATGAGCCATCATTGACTGTGTAAACCAGCTTCCTCCAAAGTAAAACCTGTCACTTAGGCGAATTATCTGCTGTGCATGAGGGAAAAGCATTTTCTCTTTGGTGGCAGACTGAGCATGAATATTTTTATTTCAATTACAAAACCTTCCCCATGACAACCACACAAGCCTGTGTGTCCTGAGTGGCTGGCACGTGATCTTCTGGAATTGCTTTTGGGATTTTCACAAAAGCTGATGACTGCACTGCTTCTGAGTATGTCAGTAGGAGGAAGAAGGAATCTAGATCAAAACATATTTAGAATATAACACAGTCATTTCTTTCCTATACGTATTTCTTTTTTCTGTTTGACTTTTCTTCTTAAGTAATTCCTTCAACAAAATGCACTGAGATGCAAGGGAAAGCCCTCAAAGTTGACAAAACTTTGTCGTTAACGAGTACAGGGTTTCTCTGGGGATGATGAAAATGTTGTAAAACTAGATTATGGTGATGGTTGTACAACCTTGTGAGTATACCAAACACCAGTGAATTGTGCGCTTTAAATGGGTGAACTTTATGGAGTATAAATTATAATTTAGTAAAGCTACATATATAAACACAAAATGTCATTATGACCTTTAGTAGAATGAATCATTACCTATTTTGGGAAAATATGGATTGATTTTGAAGACATAGTCACAAATACAAAGGCAATTCATCAGAAACTAGGACTGATACATTTGAAGATTTCTTCCCAAAAGATAAATGACTTGATCCTCAAGAGAAAATGTGCATGGATTTTAATGATGAACAATGCTATCTTCTTTACATTTTTTCTGATATTTTTAATTTAAAAAATCCCGTGTCAAACCCATTCCCCACCCAAAAATGGAGGTTTTCATTGTCACCACTCAGAATATTTCTCTGTCCTCAAATATAATAGGGCATTTCTCTTACTTTACTGTAGCAGTTTTTCTATTCAGACTTGGTCATTTCAAAGTGACAAGTTGCCGCTGTCTACTGTTCTCGTAGTGCAGTTGTGTAAAGCTACCTTCTCTATGCTTTTTCTTTTTTTTATTCAACTTGTATTTTAAGTTCACGGGCACATGTGCAGGATGTACAGGTTTGTTACACAGGTAAACGTGTGCAATGGTGGTTGCTACACCTATCAACCCATCACCTAGGTATTAGGCCAGCGTCTATTAGCTGTTCTTCCTGATGTTCTCCCTCCCCCGACACCTCACCGGCAGGCCCCAGTGTGTGTTTCCCCTTCATGGGTCTCATCATTCAGCTCCCACTTATAAGTGAGAACATGCAATGTTTGCTTTACTGTTCCTGTGTTAGTTTGCTGAGGATAATGGCTTCCAACTCCATCCATGTCCCTTCAAAGGACATGATCTTGTTCCTTTTTATGGCTGTATAGTATTTCATGGCATATGTGTACCATATTTTTTTTACCCAGTCTGTCATTAGTGGGCATTTGGGTTGATTCCATGTCTTTTCTATTGTGAACAGTGCTACGATAAAAATACACGTGTGTGTATCTTTATAATAGAATGATATATATTCCTTTGGGTACATACACAACAATAGATTGCTGGATCAAATGTATTTCTGCCTCTAGGTCTTTGAGGAATCGCCACAATGTCTTCCACAATGACTGAACTAATTTACACTCCCACCAACAGTGTATAAGCATGTTGTTTTTTGACTTTTTAATAACAGCCATTCTTTTTCTATTCTATATTTTCTACTCAGGACCACAGAAGTGATCCCCATAAGTTATAAGCATTTGTAACCATTTCAAGATGGAAATTAAAACCTTTCTTCAAAATAATGACTTTAAAATACCTACTGAATTAATTGCATTCATATTTTCTAGTTTCTAATTAGAGAATAACTTACCAAGTGACAGATGTCATTTTCTATCACATTACATACCCTTTTGAATAAAGCAATATTTTCTAGAAAAATGACCCGAGTGCCTCAAGTCAGACCACTATATGACTTGCCTAATGTTCTGTCTGCCAGAGAAACCTCGGGGTGGGAGTGGGATTCATTAAAGATCTCCCCATGTCCTAAATATCCCAAAGTGGGGCTCTAGGCCCAACATCTCTGGCTACTTGGAGCCTCGTATTAACCTATTCTACACAAACCATTTATACACACCATCCTGGTTTCCTAAACTCTTTTCGCTCTCAGCCTTTTATCACCTCTTTATATGACATTCCGTAGGGATTAGGCCATGCCTTCATCTTTTTTCCTGAGGGGAAAAGCACTTTTCAGACCTCAGAAGGTGCTTCCTGAGTTCTGCAGTTGTGGAATGGGACAGAAAAGCCCGCCCTCGCTCTGGCCATGCACATCGGTTTTTTGTGGAGGAGCATGTCTGTGACACACCCTGGGTCTTATCCTCCAGAACCTCAGTGTCCTGCAAGTTTGCTCATCCAGGGGCTCATTTCGCTTCCACTGAGCCTCAACATTGAGTACCCAGTGTACAAATCGATGTTGCAACAGGATTTCATTGACTTGGGTTTGGTGGAAGGACGTGAGTTTACACTATAGAAAGCCAGTTTCTGTTCTCTGTTTCCCTATAAGAAAGCCCAACTTCAAAGTCTTGAGGTCTGACCTGATGAGACTAGATGTGAGAAAAAGAAAAGGGTGCATTTTCCTTTCCCTTCCTAAGGGTGGGTAGAAATCCAATCCCTCTCGGGTGTTAAAGGTTAGAGAATGTCCAGATGTCTTTGGAAAGTCAATCTTGTCTTTTCATTTCTCCTGTCTCCTGGTTTATTTTCTAAATCGGCATTCCAGCACAAATCCAGTGTCTGATAGTTCAGACTGTATGCTTTAACGTTCAGAGAATCTTCTATAATCAATACACAATCTTGATAAATTAAAACTGTTATTTCCATTATGTAAATTTTTAAAATCCTCTGTGATCATCCCCCCAGAAAGCCTTTTCCCATGCTTTGTTTTGCCTGAGCAAGAGACTTAATTTATGGTTCACTCCAAATAGGCAAAGTGTGCTTCAGGTTGAAACTGGATCACCCCAGTAAGGCAGAGAGGAAGTTTGGGCTGTAGCTGCAGTCACTCGAGTCTCCTGTCCAGCAGTGATTGTGTGAGAGTGGAATGGTGCATTGTCTGTTCTTTTCTACTCGTGATGGTAGAATTGTTTTCGTCTATTTTATACCACTGAGAGTCAGCTGGCCTACCAGAGGCCCACTCATGTCTCCCCAGAATGAAAAAAGCAGACAAACAGGACAAGAAGAGATGGCAAAATTCTTTTTTCTGTTTTTTGTTTTGTTTTGTTTGAGACAGGCTCTCACTCTGTTACCCAGGCTAGAGTGGAGTAGTGCAATCACAGCGCACTGCAGCCTCAACCTCCCAGGCTCAAGTGATCCTCAGCCCTCCCCGTGCCCCACCCAGTGCCACAGTAGCCACCACGCCTGGCTCATTTTTATACTTTTCATAGAGACATGTCTTCGTCATGTTGCCCAGGCTGGTCTTGAAATCCTGGACTCAAGTGATCTGCCCACCTTAGCCTTCCAAAGTGCTGGGATTACAGGTGTGAGCCACCACACTCAGCCAGGCAAAATTCTTGGCAAGGTAAAGCAGCCAATTACAAGAAAATCTCAGTTTGCAAAGGGACACAATTCTTCTCGCTTATTCAGTGCTTATTGTGTGCCTCTCATGTGTTTTTCTTCTTATGGATCGGTGCGTTTGATGCTGGTTGGTAGAGGCAAATGAGAAGGACAAACAGGATAAAGGTGGATCTTTGGTGTGGACCCTCTGCACTGCAAAAGATGCCACATCACCGCCAACGTGGAAAACATGCAAAGTGCTGTTAGGAAGAAGGAAGGATATGTGTGCAGCATATGAAGTGCCTTGAATAAGATTAACTTCCCTTCGTGAGTAGTAAATAGTAGATAACTCTGATCAAAAAAGGGATTCGTGTGATTTATCAAGCTGAGCGACTGCGCATCTGCAGAGAAGCTGGAGGTCAATCTTGAAATCTAGGGCAAGAGAAGCATGAGGAAATTGCCAGGACTAAGAAGTTAATCATACCCTTGGACTGCTTCCATCTGTCTCAGAGCGACAGCGCTGCTCTCGGCG